GATATTTCCTTAGATGGTGATATCTTGAGAGAGCGAAACTATGATGTCAATGAGTTTGAAAGGTTTGTTGAAAATAAAAGACCACTTCTAACTGAAGACCAGAGGTTGATATACACTACTGTTATAAATGTTATCTCAAGAGGTTCAGGTGGATTATTCTTTCTTGATGCGTCGGGAGGAACAGGAAAAACCTTTCTTATTAATCTACTTCTTTGTGAGATTCGAAGGCAAGGAGAGATGGCTATCGCGATTGCATCATCAGGAATTGCGTCAACGTTACTGCATGGAGGCACAACAGCTCATTCTGCCTTGAAGCTCCCCTTAAATCTCACCCATTCAGAAAATCCTATCTTTAGCATAAGCAAGGGCTCTGGTAAGGCTGAAGTACTAAAAAGTTGCAAGCTTATTGTGTGGGACGAATGTACTATGGCACATAAGAAAGCCCTTGAAGCGCTTGATCGAACGTTGCGAGATTGAGAGAAAACACCAGAATTATGGGAGGCTTGACAGTCGTATTGGCAGGCGACTTTCGCCAAACCCTGCCTGTCATCTCACGATCGACTCCAGTCGATGAGTTGAATGCCTGCTTTAAATCATCTTATCTTTGGAAGCACGTGCAGTCCATGCCATTAAATACTAACATGAGAGTCCACTTATTTGGAGATGCTGCCGCAGGTAATTTTGCACAACACTTGTTGTGTCTGGGTGAAGGTAGGTTCCATACTGAATCGACTACTGACCTGATAACCTTTCCAACGGATTTCTGCAATTTAGTGCAGTCCGTGGAAGAATTGGTGGCAAAGGTTTTTCCAGACATTGAGAAAAATTTCAAAAATCACCAGTGGCTTTGTGAGAGGGCAATTTTGGCATCCAAAAACGAGTGTGTGAACTCATTGAATATTCAGATATAGAACGACCTTTGGCCTTCCATCAACTTATGAATCTATAGATGTGGTGGTTGACAACGAGCAAGCAGTGTATTATCCAACTGAATTTTTGAATTCCCTTGAGCCAAATGGGATGCCCCCGCATAAGCTTCAACTGAAGATTGGATCTCCAATAATGTTGTTGCGCAACATTGATCCACCAAAACTGTGCAACGAAACAAGGCTTTGCGTCAAAAATCTTATGCCAAATGTCATTGAGGCGACCATATTAACAGGGAAATTTGAAGGGGAAGACGTTTTTATTCCGCGCATACCTTTGATCCCGACCGACCTGCCTTTCGAATTCAAGCGCCTGCAGTTTCCATTGAGGCTTGCATTCGCAATGACTATTGACAAGGCACAAGGGCAGTCACACAAAGTAGCTGGAGTCAATCTGGAAAGTCCATGTTTTTCTCATGGTCAGCTATATGTTGCCTGCTCAAGA